ATTGACGCACCTGCAGAGAGCTACCAGTTAGCACTGCTGGGGTCTCACGTGAAGAAATCCCACACCCAGCTGGCTTTCAGCAGAAAGGAGACGTATGATTTTATACAGCCTGAGCGGTTCAGAGGCTGGCTGTGGCTTCAGTCATGGGGGGACTCAGTTGTCAGGAGGCTGGTGGTCTTTCCACGCCTCCTGTTTGCCTCCCTGTAGTGGCTTCAGTCTGGAGCTTCACACGGTACCCCCTCCAGCCTGGCCACCCTCTCACCTGGAGTCACTGTGAGTCCAAATCACTGTGTAGTCTCCTCTGGCCCAGGAACTGAGTGGGGTGCCCATCCTGAACCAACCACAAGGCCTAGGGGATGCAGTCAGCACAGGCTTGCTTCTGGGTCACAGGCCAACCCTGCCCCACCCTCTGAGATGGAGGTAGGGTGCCCTTCACTGGAACCACAGATTGCAGGAGCCGGGGGCGTCCGAAGGGAAACAGGCATGGTTAATTATAAGCAGAGCAAGCGGGTGCTGTGTCTGCTAATGGAGACATTGAGTCTCCTGATGTCACAGGATTATTTTGAGTAATAACAGGAATAATTGGACGCTGGAATATTAAGACTCACAATATCTTTAACTTCTTACTGTTTTATATTAGAGTTGCTTGGGGTTCTGTTTTGTTGTTATTCAGAAAGGACATAATCATCTAAAATAATTTAATTATATATTAGCTACGAGATATTTAATATACCCTTCTATATGTGCCACAATTGGCTAGGCAGTCTGGAAAATGCAAAGGAGGAGCTTGCATAGGATTTGGAAACGATGCACAGAAAAGACCTGGCTGTAGTCAATGTCAAAAGTCTGGTCAAGACAATTCCTGCCTGAGGAATTTAGAAAGAAAAAGTGTGATGCAGAAGGTGAGATTTGATCAAATCTTAGAAAGCAGAAATGGGAGTGGGCAGGAAGCGAGAGAGGGTGATGTCAGGCTGGTGAACACCTTAAGCCACGATGCAGAGGCGAGCGTGATTGACGCACCTGCAGAGAGCTACCAGTTAGCACTGCTGGGGTCTCACGTGAAGAAATCCCACACCCAGCTGGCTTTCAGCAGAAAGGAGACGTATGATTTTATACAGCCTGAGCGGTTCAGAGGCTGGCTGTGGCTTCAGTCATGGGGGGACTCAGTTGTCAGGAGGCTGGTGGTCTTTCCACGCCTCCTGTTTGCCTCCCTGTAGTGGCTTCAGTCTGGAGCTTCACACGGTACCCCCTCCAGCCTGGCCACCCTCTCACCTGGAGTCACTGTGAGTCCAAATCACTGTGTAGTCTCCTCTGGCCCAGGAACTGAGTGGGGTGCCCATCCTGAACCAACCACAAGGCCTAGGGGATGCAGTCAGCACAGGCTTGCTTCTGGGTCACAGGCCAACCCTGCCCCACCCTCTGAGATGGAGGTAGGGTGCCCTTCACTGGAACCACAGATTGCAGGAGCCGGGGGCGTCCGAAGGGAAACAGGCATGGTTAATTATAAGCAGAGCAAGCGGGTGCTGTGTCTGCTAATGGAGACATTGAGTCTCCTGATGTCACAGGATTATTTTGAGTAATAACAGGAATAATTGGACGCTGGAAAATTTTATTGTAAGCACATTGCGACTGCTAGGACAAGGAGTTCGACTTGATGAGGAACTGTAAATCAGTCTCGGGCATACCGACCTCTCAGCTGGGTGAGGGATGGCCCGGGGGTCGGGTGTGCAGGAGGAGGGAAGTCCCAGGACCTCTGTTGTGCTTGCCCACCGTTCAGAAGCTGCACATCTGAGACTATCTCCTTTGTGCTGTGAACTGTGGAGACACAGACAGGATGCCCAGACCTGATCCTGCCCTCCATAGCGTCCACAGCATGGCAGGGAAGACAGCGCCGCCGAGTCGGTCACGGTGCGGGCAGAATGCACAGTGACAGCTGTGCTGGGCTTCATGGGAACGCGGAGAAGTTCTTAAAGTGAAGCTCAGTCCCTCGAGGCGGAAGCAGAGTGAGCAGGAGCCCAGGGAGCAGAGGCCTGGGGGCAGTGACGTCCTCTGGATCGTCTCTGAGAGCGAGTGTGTTGGGAGCCCTAAACCTTGCTTGTGGAGCCTTTGAGAATATTGAGCAGATCTGGGTGGTTGGATCCCAGCAGATCCCGCCTGTCATCGTGCCCAGGTGTCCCTCGAAGTTCACAGGCCCAGGATGGGACTGTACACGCGGGGAACCCTGGCCCGCTGTCCCTGAGAGAGTCCTTGGGTCTCTGGCACGGGAAAGCCTTGGACGCTGCCTGTGGTCTGTGTCTCCTCCCCAGCTCACTGTGTCTGGGGACTGGAGAAGGCAACCCTGGAGTGCAGTGGCTCCTTCAAGTCCTGTTTCAATAGACTTTAGAATCGGTGGGAAGNGGGGTCACAAAGAGTCGGACACGACTGAGTGACTTCACTTCACTTCACTTTAGCCTCTGAACCACCGGGGAAGCCCAATAGCTGCTGTCAAGTTCCTCTTGACTCAGCACAACTGAAAGCCCAGCAGCATCTGAGCACCGGGGCCCAGCAACAAAGGCCAGCGTTTAAAAGCTGCTCACTAGAGAAGGTGGCAGGAAGGGCCAGAACTGACCACTTAAATGGGACAGAGCAAAGGGCTGGCCAGGCAGAGGGACAAGGAAGGAAGAGCATATGACTTGCTCCTGAGAGCACCTGGAGGCGTGAACGTGAACGTAGCGGGGTGGTGCCATGCGAGCTGTGAGCGCGCAGACGGGGCATTGCGGTGGCAAAAGCGCCTGTGTCCGTGGCTGCCACCAAGAGCGCGACTTGGAGTAGTTGAGTCTGTGATGGGGAGATGAGGTTGACGTGGAGAAGGTGCTAGTGAGGGTGGGAGGGAAAGGACGCACTCTAGGTTCTAATGTGAGCTGGGTTCTGCATCGCTTTCCTCTGACCTGCAGCTCCTTCATTTTAAAACAACATCTTACATTGTAGAGAACGAACCAACAAACCACCACCTTACATTTCTGGGAGTCTTTGCCATTTCGAGAGAATGTGCACTTCTGTTTTCACCTTTTAACAACTCAGGAGGGTGGCAGGGGGCGGAGTTATCCTTGCTCCTTATTTACCTGAGAACTGAGTAAATGGTTCCCACAACCAGCAGTGGACGGACCCGGACTCCAAATTTCTGACTTGAAACCCAACATGCAATTTTCTTGGCAACACCAGGGAACCTCAGTCTGCTAGTCAATATTCAGTTTGATGCCAAGTGATTTTTCCTTTCTCAAGAAGGTAGAAATTGAAATATTTTTTATTACCAAGAGAAGAGTTTATATTACTCTTGAATTAACTGCAGAGTGGTGTTTATGTACGTCAGACTAGATAGACTCCTGCTTTTTTATGTTCAGCTTTACACAAACAGAACATTTTCAGTTTGCTTTGAAAGCAAAATACCATGTGTTGTAACTTTACAATGTTTTAAATAAAGTTAGGAATTTAGGTTTATGATGCTGAAAAATATCACAAAATCGGCGGGTATAAGACCAAGAGCTATGTACATGAAGGCCTTTAAAAGTTCGACGGTTGGTGAATCAAAGGTAGACATTTCAACACACCAGTTGTTGAATTATTGTATTAACAATCCAGTGAAACGAGGAGTGAATTATTAAAGTTTATCTTCCTCACTGATTTGTATCACTGTTACTCAAGTGTGGGTAGTTTTTAAAGTGGAGCAGTTCAGCCTAACGAAGCCATTTACTGTACTGGTCCTACACACTGCCTCTCTTTCTGTCTTTATTACTTCATTTTGTAACTTTGATTGCCCCATTTTAGATCTAAGATTGCTCTAATGCTACACTGCAATTGTATGAGGGGCTTAGTTTTCACTTTGTTCTCAGAATCCGGCTGGCTATAAATTTATCTCTGTTCTTTGAAGAAGCTAACAGTAAATTTCCAAGAGGAAAAATGGTGGTATATATCCCTGTAGAGGAAAAGTAATCTCTTAAAAGCAGAATAACCTCCAGGCTACATCCTTTTAAAGAGGGACTTTCAAACAAGGATGCCTTCCAACTTTTATGTGTGCTCTGTATTTTTCTTCAGGCTTTGTACCTGCTCTCCTGCTCTCTGTGTAAGGTTTCTCTGTAATGAGCCATCCTGCTCACACCCATTAAATCTGTAATGAAGCCATGCCTTTCCCAATCCTGATGTCATAATAACTTCCAGAGCACAGCCTGGAGATGATCCGAGGTTTCCTCAGGAAAAGGGGGCAGAGGGCCCAGGGCCCCGGAGTTGGAATCCCTATGACGCTGAACCTCAGTTCCGTAGATTCCCATGGACTACAGTGAAAACGAACTTTGTGGAGGGGAATCCATGGGAAGGTTTCCATCAGGTTTAATTGCATTCAGGGCAGTTTTCAAAGTCAGGCGCTGGTTCATTCAAATTAAACCCACCCTTCCCACACTCCCTCATCAAGAGATAATAAGGTCATTTAGAAGGAGGAGGTGCTAAAATAACGGGATGAGCTTGTGGCTCTGTTTCCAATGTCTGACAGCTTCATCACCTCTCATCTCTTATTATGCAGCTGCCTGGAGCTGCATGTTGATGAACGAGGCACTGCCGGTGTCCTCTCGTGTCAGACGCACAAGCCTGGGCTCCCGTTTACCACTGGGGCTGGGGGAAGCAGGGATCTCTGGATAGGCTGGGAGCAACCAAGGGTCATCGATGTGGAGCTCAGGGAGGTCTGGGGAGGGCGGGAGAGAGGCTGAACCCCCACATCATCCATCCTGCCTGTGCCTGCGATGTCACGACAAGGGGCTCTCAGAGCTGCATCTGGGGGAGCAGAGGTCACCCCAGCAGTGGTGACTGTGGGCACCCTAAGCGAGCCATTGTGGATGGTTAACTTTAGCCAGCATATTTTTCTGACCTCAGAAAGTTCCAGAAAGTGTCATGTGTGTGTGTGCATGTGTGTGTGTGTGTTTGCCATTTCCTTCGGCCTAATTGTCCTCTTTCTCATTTTATGCCCCTGCTAGACCACCGCTCTTGATAAGGAGAGGCAGGTTTTCCGACGAAGACGCAACCCGGATGTGAGGAGCCGGTACAAGGCCCAGCCAGCTCCACCGGAACTCAACTCGGAGTCGGAAGACTACTCGCCGAGCTCCTCCGAGACTGTTCGCTCCCCAAACTCGCCCTTTTAATAAGACCCTTTTACTCGAAGTCCTAGCTTAACCCTTTGATACTCTGAGGTTTGTTACCCCCCCCCCAAATTATGTCAGACAGTTTCCTCTGATCTACCTAGCACTCAGTGCTTGAATGGCCGAGCAGAACAGTGTGTTTTTCTGGTACCCTTGTAGCGATTTCCCTTTTGCTGAATGAGACTGTGACATGTTATTGGTGAAGATGACAACTTGCTGCTAATTGGGTCCTCAAAGGGTTAAGGCTATTTTGCGACTTTTAAAATGTAGAAGCAATGAATGTTTTCATCAGTGGAGCTAGGCTCTGCAGTATGTAACATAGCACGTGTTAACCCTCTGAGTGCATGGGATTTTATGGAGAATGCTTGAGGGAATCTTTCAGGCCTCTGGATTTATATGCACATGTTTCTTGATTTTGCTGCAGATTAAGGGGTTATTAGATGCTGAGATGTCCAGACAGGAAGAGCGTCTAGCATGCTGTCTTGCTTGTCCTTTTTTTGTGGGTTTAGAACATGGCAGGTTTATAACTTAAGCATCAGCATCCCTTTCCTCTTCACAATCCTATTAAGAAAGGGACTTTTTTAAAAGAAAGAGGTCTCACTGCCAGCTGCCCTGAGTCCTACATCCCACATGGAGGGACCTGGATCTATGGCCAACAGCCTGACCCAGGATATAGATGGTGGCCCCCCTCCCGCAAATCACCTCCATTTGAAGACGTGCTGATGACGCCCCAGAAATGCTGCTTCCACTTCAGCTGCTACTACTGCCAGTGCGGACCCTCAGGAAGTCACCAGAGCTTGCCCTGTACTTGGTGATTCAGGGTCTGCCTGCTCAGTATGAAACATCTACAGGAAAAAATAAACAAACTGGTGGAAAAGAGCAATAAATTGCCAGGTGCTCTACAGGGCTGGAATGTCAAACAGGAAGAGGCAACAAGACCCGGTTCTTTGTCTCATCTGCTTTTTTCACACAGTTCAGTCTAAAGTGTGAGATCCACACAGTGTATGAAGTCCATACACAGAATATGAAGTCCATACACAGAATATGAAGCCCATACACAGGAGGAGCGCCCAGGACTGGGCGCCCAGAGCCGAGTGCTTTGCAAGATGGCCAAGGAGAAAGCAGAGTGGACCAGCAGTCCATAGTCTCAAAACACTTTTTAATGAAATAAACCATCGGTGAGATGATTCCATGTGCACCTTTAGGATACTTACATATAGTCTCAGGGAGAACAGGATGGGAGACATAGAGGGTATCCCTGAGGATAAAACTTCCGCTCCCTAGGATGACCTTTATATAGCACTGTCTTTAGCTGTCCAGAGAGAGATGCTATTTTCTTTCTTTGGCCCAAGTCCTGTCCAACAGCTGTATTTTACTCCTGTTTCCAAATCTTTCTCCCTAGCCCTGTGTCTCCCCTGGAGTGTGTTACGCTTGGAATGGGGGCCTGCAGCAGCCTGCGGTCACTGCTTAGGTGCAGGGAAGAGGCTGGCTGGGGTGTTTGGCAAGGTGGGGTTTGTCCCAACTCCGATGTCCTCCTAAGGTTTGCTTCGCTCCCTGGCCCGGAAGACAACCATGATGGCTCATGAAATTTGCATCTAGATGGCTGGACAGCGCTCATGGTCTCTGCTCTGAGGTATACTTCGACACCTGAAAGTCTTGAAAGGTGTGTGCAGCTCTTCCACAGTCAATTCTTGACTTTCAGACACAGGTCGGTCTTCAGTGACCACCTTTTACTCTTCAACTGATAAACATATGGTCTCTATTACTATCAATGTAAAAATCACAGCATGCCGTGACTGCATCATGGTCCCCCCCCAACTCCCGCCACTCCCCGAGTTTTTGACTCTTTCACGTTTAGGGTTATCTCTTCTGTGTTGTCTTGCCATGTAAATATTAGGTCATTTACTGAGAGCACCCCCACCTTTTTTTTGAGAGTCCTGAAACCTAACATACAACATCACAAGGTAGCACAATCAGGTGGGTTTTCTGGTGAAGATGGGGAGGGCAGGACACCAGGAAGGTATGGTGTTTAGGTAGATTCCATACAGTAAAGTATCCAAAACTGGTCAGAAATTACTGCTTTCTCTAGAACTCAAAAGCAAAGCACTATTCACAGTAAGACGAAGGAGCAGGTTCCTGGATTGGCCTCAATTATAAATGTGTGAATATGAAGAAATCCTGTGTGTGGAGACCTCCCTGCAGTAAGATTGTGGTTTTCCTTGGGCCCCCCTGGTAGCCCAGTTGGTAAAGAATCCGCCTGCAATGCAGGAGACCCTGGTTCTATTTCTGGGTCGGGAAGATCCCCTGGAGAAGGGATAGGCTACCCACTCCAGTATTCTTGGGCTTCCATTGTGGCTCAGCTGGGAAAGAATCCGCCTGCAATGCGGGAGACCTGGGTTTGATCCCTGGGTTGGGAAGATCCGCTGGAGAAGGGAAAGGCTACCCACTCCAGTATTCTGGCCTGGAGAATTCCATGAACTGTATAGTCCATGGGGTCACAAAGAGTTGGACACAACTGAGCAACTTTCACTTCACTTTCTTTCTCTGAATTACTGCTTTTCCCGTGGGCATTGTGTCTATGATGCCAGCATCTTGCATACATACCTTACAGCGCATGGCTCAGGCCTTTTTCACCCAAGTCTTGAAGGACTGTGGACCATGTAAAGCTGTGGCGTGTTTCCCGTAACACTGCAGAGGGGCCACTCGGAAGAATGCAGGGCCATTCCGCATGGGGATCCCAGCACACCACTGCAGAATTTGAGTGATCTATGCTGAATAAATAGTGGAATGTGACCTGTCAAGTAGAAATATTGAGTAATCAGATGGAATGCAATCTTTTCAGCACTAAGCTATCGAGATCCTGAATGTCAGAGATGTACTCAGAGGGTTAACAGACAAGCACAAGGCATGCTGATTACGTGGGTGTACCCAGACTGCTTTTGCTTTTTAGCCAGTGCTAATTTTTTTCACAACATTCTTGGGATAGTTCAAGTTTGAAATAATTAAGTGGTGGTGTTAAGGAATTTCTATAACCAAATTGATCTTATTTTTTATTTCACTTTATTAGAGAATAAATATGTACCATTATGACAGTGTATCTCTGTACTTATCAATTTAATCATTGCCACAAGTGTCCCCATATTTTTCTTTTCTACGTATATAATATAGCTTTTATGGTGGTGGCCTGGTGATGGGGACTGTCTTTCCTCTATTGATACATGACCAACCATATGGTATTTTCAAGGGGAATTTTAAGATTCATTTTGTTTCCGTTTTGGTAGTAGACTAGTTAAGGAAAAACTCTTTCATTACTTGCATCATGTAAACCATCTCTGTAGATGAGAACCGTTCATATTGATGACACATTTTTTTTTCTCAGCACTGTAGCAGAAACCATTTATTCTCATAATCAATGCATATGTAATTTGCTCCATATCATTAGAAGGAAAAGTAAGATTTTGGACATTGAAAATGTTTTTTCTGTAGCCCTCATCTGATTTTACACGTGGTGCATACTAAAATAAGCCAAGAAAAAAAATGCAAATAAACTACTGAAAATGCTTGGTGTTCTGTATTCAGTGAGACCTTCCTACAACCTGCTCAGCACCCCCATGGGTGGTGTTTAACAGGCCCGTCAGATACTGTTGAAAGAAAGCAATATATCCATAAATGAAGGCTAAAATTGCAATCCTTTACCCTTTGAGGCGTATTTCAGTTGGAAAAAAGAAAAGAAAAATTGGCTTAGCTGAGAGGGTCACGGGGCTGCCGTGTGGCCAAGGCTTACGCACATTAAATCATGGTTGTCTGCTGGCCAGTGGCGCCATGACACAGCCCCATCCCTGTGCTGAAGGGCAATCGTGCTTGAGGGAGAGCTTTCTTCATATTATTGTGTTGCCCGATAGCCCTTCTCTGGGTCAGGATCTGTCAGCATTTCCATGATAAACTTCTGATTTCAAAGGTTTTTAATTTGATCATAAAAAGGTGCCCCAGGCTGAAGTTTGCTATAGAGCGCCTGTTCCGAAGAATGAAGGTTCACTGCCTTCTTTTCTCTGCCCAATTCTGCCGAGAAAAGAATAACCAAAAAGAAAAAAAGAAAATCTGGTATGTCTCCCCTCTTTACTTGTAATTTCAGAATTGTGGAAAGCACCAAGATCCAAGATGGTAGTTTAATTTAATTATTCATTTGGGTGTGGGTTAAAAAAAATTAATGAGTCACCTGGCATATATTGTAGATAACATATCTTTTCTATAATTTGTAAATCATTAATTTTTTTAACTGCTACATGATTTGGGAGGGGTGGGAGTGGGAATCCAATCAAAGATTTTTTTTAAAACTTGAAGTTGGTCAGTTCAAGGGTTAGCCTTTCCTGTGTGTTGTCTGCCATTTCCATTAGGAGTTTGGGGAAAAAATACTCTCAGACAGACCCTTATTTTGCATGCAGTGATAGAGGGTCAGATATGTGCTTCTTTGGGAGATACGGATTTCTTTATTTAATCAAGTTTCATGAAGCCATTCTAGTCTGTTGGGGAAAATAGTGATTAAAAGCACTTCCAAAACTAACATTTTTGTCAATTTAGATATGATAAGGAGTGCATCAATGAACACACTTCACACATTTTTTGGTTTAAAGACAAAAAAAAAACACGAAACTTGAGAACACATTTGATCACTGCAAATGTGCTTTAAAAATTGGCTCAATGGTGCTTATACATGAAACAGTAACAAATGGGGTCCCTAGGACTGTCAGAAGGAATCTTTCATTTGTATGTAATTACATACTTGAGGAGGAGGTGCTTTTAAGGCAGTCTTTCATTTTTTAATCATCTCAAATATGCAACCATCCATCCAGTAACATTAAGGGTCATAAACTGGTGGGAAACAGGAAATTCAGTGTAGAAGCTTAGGATGCCTCTGGGTGAGGTGGTCTTTATTTCCCTCTTTGGTTTTTTTGTGTGTGTTGCTGTTGTCGTCATTCATGGGCTTCAATGCTGAAGCTGGGCGATCATTTTTCAGTGAGTGAGCTTCTAACTGGCAGGTGTTTTGATCACGGGGTTTGCAGTCTCTTGCCCTTGGAGACGAGTGAGGGCTCTAGTTTCATTCTTTTTCATAAAGAAAGTGCAATCTCTGTAATTAAACCCCACCTGTAAATTTCCTCGACATTCTTTTTTGGTCCACTGACATGAGACCCTTAATGTTGCTTCAGTGTAAAATTGTATATTTTTGTCTGTGATATACTTTATTAACTTAAAGTAAATAATAGTTCTAAAAGCCTTCACTGTTGGTATTAAGAGAAAGTAGGGTTTTAAAAGTGATGATAAAGATGCTATAATGTCAATTCATTCCAGTCCAATTGAATGTGGTAAGAAAAAGACCTTGAATAGTTCTCTAGGGACAATTTCTCACTGGCCATTGACATTAATCTTTGATGTATTCTTAGAAAAAAATAAAAAGAAATTGAAACTGGTCCAAGGTTAGAGTCATATCCTCGATAACTATTTTTTTTAATTTTATTAGGAAATTAATAATAGTCTTTTTCATTCTGGGTGAAAGAAAATTGTTAAAGGACTAGTTGAGTGTGAAATTAAATAATATTTTGCTCATGCATACTGAAAAGGTGGGCTTGAAACTTGATGCATTTAAACAAGTTTCTGAAAGGTTTTAATTCGGTGCAAGAAAAAAAATTCAATGTTTCCTTTGAAAATACTGAATTTATCAATTGCTGCATGGATCAGATGGCACAGGTTAACCTTTGATTTTTCAGAATCTTAATGAAGTAACTATCAAACGATTTGTATCCATGATTAAAGCTGGAATGAGATCTGATTTTTTTTCCTAATCTCTCAGTTTAAGCTAATAAATGTAGGTTAATGTGGATGAAATCATCTGTGATATATTATGTTCATTTATCAACTGAGCTTTTTTGATGTTGCCTGTTTTTATGTAAAACATGTTCTTAAAGGTTAATAAAAGAATAGTACTTGGTGTATGAACTACTACGTAATACCCTACCTCCAATGTCCACTCCTCAGTTCGCTCTGCCATAATGGAGTAAAATTTCATTTTAGTTCAGTTCATAATTGACACATTCAGTCCACGAAGGAATAACCCAGCTGTGTTCTTGGGGGGAATTCTCTCTATGCAAGGCTTTAAAAATTAGTCATGCGGTCAGAGTGTAGCTTTCCCACATGTCCTTCGTAGCAGAGTGTCTATTTCATGAGCATAATTCAAAAACAACTATTCAAAAAATGTCCCTTTTCATATATTACCTTCCCGCCTGGGCCAGTGACTCAGATAAACACAAAGAAATCAAATACTATTCAGCCCAATTTTATCCTTCCACCTATCTGCCCCAGCTTTCCAGAGAAGAGTGTTGTTTTATCAGCCACGCTGTAATTAGCTGCTGTTTTTTTTTTTTTTTATAGTGATGTCCCATTAGGCAACCCATGTGTGATATTGACCAGAGAGAAAATAGCAAAAATGTACAGCGGAATCAAGTTCTTTCCTATGTGAGTTGTTCAGAGCTAGGAGATTGAAAAGTCTGCCAGCAAAAGTGAGTGCAGGTCCCCTGGTGTCCTATGAAGGTGTTGGAGGATCTCAGAGCACTTGTAAAACTTTCGATCCCCGTCCCAGCCATCTACACGCGGCCACTGCTGCTGCGGCTGTTTGGTCTTTTGCTCCTCCGCAGTGAAATTGCTGGGTCCTTTCTAGGCTTTCAGGGCAACTGCTGTGAAACAATAGCTAAAGTGATTGTTTCCTAAGGACCATTACCTTGTTTTATGAGGCTGGCACTTTTCCCAAAAACCTACCGTCAGAAAAAAACAAAAAATGTGCCCTGACACAGAAACATCAAACACTACTGGCAACTCTGGGATTGAGGAGGATAACACTGCCGTGTCAGGGAAACTGGGAGAAGGGCGTTCCAGCAGGGCGGGACTAACATCCAGTTAAGGAAGTTTTGCACGTGGAGGTAAACAGGTAACTGGGAAAGAGGCATCCCAGGGAATTCCTTACACAGGAGAGAGGCTCTCCTCTGTCTTCGAAGGTAGCCAGCTTCCCCAGCTCCAGAAGGGGCACCGAGGGAAGACAGGGAGCCCCTCCCAGCCAGCTGGACCAGCCAAACCCACGCTGGCCGCCAGTTCTGCGACAGATGTCCTTGCCAGCTTGCCTGCACATCCAAATCATTCATTCAAATGTTTCTTGAGTAAGTGCCAACACCGCGGAGGGCACCTCACTGGGGTTTAGAAAAGAAAAGGGAAGCTCTGTTGTCCATTTTCATTTTTACTATGATCAGAAGATGTTAAAGACAAGGATGGGGTCTCCAGAAGAAAGCTTCACTATTTGTTCTGAGACTCCTGGTCCGGGGTTCAGGCAACCCGGACATCACATCCCACCAGACCCTGTGGTTGTGGCAACTTGGATTCTCTCACTTGAGGATGTGTTTGCCATCTGCCTGTTCGGTGGTGCCCACACCCTGTGATACCCTTGGCTCTGCTCCTGGCCTCTGAGGTAGAAGGCCTCCCAGAGTCCTCTCCGCTGTTGTAATTTGCACGCGATTTACAGCTGTCCTAAAATAGCACATGTATTCAGCAAGCATGGTCCAGGACCTATGGTGAGTGACGTGCTGTGGAGGCGGAGATGAACAAGACAATTCTTCTTCTTGAGAGTCTCAGAGCTGGTGAGAACTCTTCTCTGGATGCCCACGAGTTGGGGCACCTGATTTATCACTCACAGATGGCCAAACTCCAGTTTGTCGGGGGCCGAGGCACCCCTACCAGCCCGAGACTGGCCCTCTCTGCCTGCTGAGTCTGCAGGCCAAGCTTCAGTCATGCACACACGCATCTGTGGCTTGCTTTCTTACAACTCAGAGATCTGTGTGTCGCCCTCAGAAAGCCCCTGGAAGGAGGCAAAGAAGGGGAGGAAAGCGGGGAGCAAATGGGGGAGTTCCGGAAGGAAGGACAGCTGCCAAGACTGAAGCTGCCCCAGGTCTTAAGACCGAGTGTGTCAGTTGAGGGTAAGAATACTAATGTCTCACAGAAAAGTGAAAGTGAAGTCGCTCAGTTGTGTCCAACTCTTTGCAACCCCATGGGCCTACCAGGCTCCTCCGTCCATGGAATTTTCCAGGCAAGAGTACTGGAGTGGGTTGCCATTTCCTTCTCCAGGGCATCTTCCTGACCCAGGGATTGAACCCGGGTCTCCCGCATTATAGGCAGACGCTTTACCCTCTGAGCCCACAGGGAAGTCTCGCAGTCTGCTCCTCAAACCCAGTCCGAGGATGTGCTCTGCGAGAATCACAGGGCATACCTCACTGCAGGTTTAACATGGCTTTGGTCTCTTCACCCAGGTGAGTGGTCCCCCCTTCCCCGAGACAGGATGAGCAATAAGATCCCACCATGGCACCATCACTGCATCTCTTTAGGAAGCAGAAGGTGGGGTGTTTCCCAAGAATGGTTGAATTCTCACACCTCACTGTCCATTCTCTCCTTGACTTCCGAGAACTCCCCAGAGGACCTGCAACCAGTAACGGGAACTTCAGCCTGAGGGACCCTCTCCGCCATCTGCCCTCAGGGCACATCCTCTAGTCCCATTTCCAGCAAGCCCCTCTCCGGTGCCAGCCCCTCCGCTGGATCACAGGCGCCATCCTGCGCTCACGAGATAGAAGGTCTAACCGCTGGGGCCCCGTGTGGGAAAGCAGCGAACAGAGGGCCGTCACCCAGCACGGACAGGGCTGTGAGGAGAGCCCGGGGTACCCCGTGAGCACTCTGGAAATTCACCCTACTGAGATACAGGGGTGGGGGGACTCAGAGGAGGCTTCCTGGACCAGGTACCCCTGAGGGAGGGTCTGAAGGAGAAGCAGGAACCAGCCAAGAGAAGGAGAAACGTGTATCAAGCCATGGGAACAGAGAGAGCACAGTGGAGCTCGGGGTGGGTAAGATGGAGGCTCACGGCCAGGCCCGAGGAGGCCGGGGTCCTGCCCGGGCAGCGGGCCCCCCCCCCGGACCCTCAGCTGTCACGCAGAAGAGGCGTCGGCCCGGCCCACGTGGTCCAGTAAACATGTGGTGGTAGAAACGAAACAGCCCGGATGCTGGGTCCCCAGGGCTGGTTAAAGGAGGAAGGGAAGCCGGGCGAGCAGCACCCGAAGGGGCAGTAGAGACCCTTCCCTTTCTGAAATAACAGGAACCCTGACGGATCCCTCACGGCAGTGACAAGAGGGCAGCCTCCGTGTGCAGACAGAGGGCTGGTCATGTGTTAATCCCTTCCTACAAGGAGTAGAGTCTCCAGATCACAAAGCTGCTCGGATCACAGGGGGGAAAAGGAATCACATCTTTCCCTCCTGTGTTGCTTCACTGCTGGAAAAAAAAAAGGAAAAGAGAAATCCACTGACCCTGAAAATAGCTCTCTCTCTCCTCCCTCCGGGACAAATCCACATTATCACCTTTCCCTACAGAGGGGTGGTAATTAATGTTCCACCCAGAGAGGTTTCGTTATTCCATCAGAATTACCTATTAATTTTCTGGATTCTTCTGACGAAGCGGTGAACTTGTCATGAAGGGCACGTTGTTCAGAATGTGAAATATCCTTTCATTTTCAACAGGTAAATCAAGGCCAATCAACCTAGACATGTTTAATTTCCTCTCTCGACATGGTTCCCTCTGTTCTCCCGGCTGTGGATGTTTCTTTTTTTCGAGAACATTTTCTCAGTTCTCTGCTCTCGTGCTGGGCAAATCGTTTGGGCTTCATCAATAGCTTCTATTGTTTCCTAGCTTCTCAGTAGAGGGAGGTTCACGCTGTTTTCTTAAACTGGAAAACTGAACATTTCCTGCTCAGGATGGGAGAGAGACCTCATTCCAACCTTGCATCCACTGATTCTCTCAAGGGACTTCTCCTGCCCAGTGGTTTTGTGGGTTCTCCCAATTTGCCCACACCTCGGTGTGCTTTCCTGCAAAAATGTTGTCGATGGGTGTGTATATCTTAATGCCTCTGCCTCTCACAACAGGGCTTCCCTCTCTCAACACGTCTGTACCAGAAAAGTCTGAGGAAAACACACCAAGGGCAGCCCTGCTGGAGAAAGAAAGTGAAAGTCGCTCAGTCTGTCCAACTCTTTGCAACCTCATGGACTATACAGTCCATTGAATTCTCCAGGCCAGAACACTGAGTGGGTAGCCCCCTTCTCCAGGGAATCTTCCCAACCCAGGGATTGACCACACTGCAGGTGGATTCTTTCCCAGCTGAGCCACCAGGGCAGCCCAAGAATACTGGAGTGGGTAGCCTATCCCTTCTCCAGCAGATCTTCCCGACCCAGGAAAAGAACTGGGATCTCCTGCACTGCAGGTGGATTCTTTACCAGCTGAGTTACAAGGGAAGCCCAGAAGGCAGGTAGTTGTCCTCTGAGTAATCAGGTCTCTGGAATAAAAGAGCTTGAAGCCCTGCCAGCCTGGAGTTCTGCTCACTACTGAGCCTCAACCTCTTTAGTGTCAGCCGATCAGAGCCTCCCAGAGTCCCTCCCTCAGTAGCAAAGGTGTCCTCAGACTTAGAGGAACACTCCTGTCCATCACAATCAAGATTATCCAACTCAGCTCTGTCTCCCACTTGCCAGCAGAGAAGAACGTTCTAGGTGAGGGAGAAGCAAGGGTCTGTTGGGCCCAGTCAGGCCTCCTTCCACAGGCTCTTGCCTCCTCCGAATGCTCGGCTCCACTCATCAGCGTTCTGGCAAAAACAGCCCCATGAACCCCTCCACAGCCACATTCATTCATCCCAAGCTATCACCTGCGCCCCTCCTCAGAGGCACATCTGTTGCCTGAAAACCAGGCAGTCGCTCCACTATAAATGCCCAAGGCTTCGCTTCTCCTTAATGTGGCCCTATATCCAGACAGGGCAAAATTGACCTCCATCATAAGCCAGGGGCCTGCTAGAGCTGGAGCTTCTCCATTCTAACATCTGCTGCATCAACATTTAGCTTTAAGAGCTCAGACCCATAACCACCGCGGCTTCT